AGGCACAGCAGCAATTTGGGGGGTATCTGGAAGTCTGAAGGCGCCATGAGGCTGCTGATGCACTCGCCTCACAGGTACAGATTGACCTGCTGGCGGCACCATACCCCCTTTTTATTTTATTCTTTTTTAATTAAATTTTATTTTATTTTTATAAAGTTGTTAACAATAATTTATTACATGCAATATTCCAACACATATCCCACCACTATTACACCTTCCCACCACCATATTTAGAATTATTCCACCTTGAACCCCAAAGCCTACCCCCAAAGAAGAACATAATATTTTATTTTGTATTGCTTGTTATGAAAAATCTGCTAGATGCTCCAAAAATTTTCCTTAGAGGAAAGTGTGTGAAGATTGTTGTATCACCCTTGTAGAGAGTATGAGTAAGTATGAGTCAGTAAGCCCTTGTATAGAGTATGAAATGTCATGCAGCTGTGTGCTCCAGGAATTCTAAGGTCTTAAAAAGGGTGATACAGCTAAAATTAAATTTTTAACTGGATGGTGACTTTGGGGTCTGAAGGCATCTCTGTGGCATGTTGCTCTCTTTCTCTTTGAGATTTAAATGTGAGTCTCTAGATCATGGCCATTAATGAGTTTAAATGGTGTCAGAGGCAATTTGTGGGCATGACTGCTAGGCTACTGGAACTTCAGGGAGATAGGGGAGGTCACCCACCCCTGACTCTATGACACAAACATTTTAGACTGTAAAGAAGTTACAAATTAATTCTGTGAGGAACTAGAGTGTTAGAGTGTCTGGTTGGCTGGCATCCGTCCCAGGATTGGTTATGCCACCACATGGCTTCCTGACATTGCTAGGGTGGCTCCAAAGAACACAAGCACAGTGGGAGTGGTCTGGAATATCATCTGCAGTATTCCCAAAGAGCATTGCATCCTTGGGCCTTCCAGTGAATTGCCAGTCTTGTTGGTCAAGAATCACTGGTGGAAATCCAGGACCCCCTGAACACCGTCTGAGGGCCCAAAAACAAAAACAAAAAAAATCAGCTCAGAGGCTGGAAAGTTACGGGGGAGCCCACTTGATTTGCATGTGACTCATCTCTGGCATCTCATATGGTTGCCTAAGCACCACCAGGAGTGGTCCCTGCATGCAGAAGACAGGAGTAACCCATGAGTATTCCCAGGTGTGACACACCCCTCACACCTGCACCCCCTTGCAAATTTTTTAAAAATTGTTCATTTACATATTGCTTGGCTGATGTTTGGTGTTATTAAAATAATGTCATCAGCAAAGCGGAGGTGGTGTAGTTGCCGACCATCTATCTTCACTCCCATTCCTTCCCATTCCAGTCGTCGCATGATGTTCTCGAGGGTGGCACTGAAGAGTTTCGGTGAAATGGTATCACCCTGCCGCACCCCTCTCTTGACATCAACGATCACTTCTTTGTAGAATGGTGAGATCCTGGTAGTGAATCCGCAATACAGCTCACGGAGGATCCTGATGTATTGGGCTTGAATGCCCTGATTGGCTAGGGCTTCAATGACCGCTTCCGTCTCAACAGAATCAAAGGCCTTCTTTAAATCAATGAACGTTAAACAGAGCAGCATCTTGAACTCCCGAGAAACCTCAATGAGCTTGGTTATTGTGTGGATATGGTTGATGGTGCTGAATCCTTTGCGGAACCCTGCTTGCTCGCATGGTTGTCCTTCATCTAGTGTTCTGCCAATCCTATTTAGGATGAGTCAAGTGAACAACTTGTAGATGACAGACAATAGGCAGATCAGGCGATAGTTGCCAATGTCATGGATGTCTCCCTTCTTGAACAGTAGTACGGTCCTGCTGGTTTTCCATTGAGATGGAACCTTGCATTCAGACAGGTAGCGAGTGAAGAGCCGAGCCAGTGTATTGATGAGTACTGACGGCAGGTTCTTCAGGTGTTCAGGTCTGACCTTGTCTGGGCCGGGTGCTGTTTGTTTCTTTACCGACGAAATGGCGTGTCGGATTTCGGAAGGGAGAACGTTGGGAACGACATATCCGTCCTGTGGAATTTGGTATGTCGGCAAGTGGACATGGCTATCGAAGAGATTTGAGTAGAAGTCATGGATAATCTTCTCCATTGCCGTTCTGGAGGATGTGATGGATCCATCAGGACGTCGGAGGGCAGTCATCTTGCTCTTATAGTTGGTGAAGGACAGGCGGGCGTTACGAATACTTTTCCCGGCTTCTGCTGCATCTACCAGTACTTCTGCTCTTCTCTCTTTGAGGTCTTCCTTGATCGCATCTCTGCACTGCTTTGCGAGCTCGGATGTCAGCTTGCGGTTGCCTGAGGCATGCGCCAAACCACGCTGGCGAATTAGTTCAAGAGTTTTCGAAGATAGGTGATTTTTTGTGGCTATCTCTCTCTTGGCGTTCCTCGCACATTCATGGAGGTGCTGAACCAGTCGATCGTATTCCTTGTCAATGTTGTCAACAATGGCATCTTCCCATGTTGCCGCAATAGTACCAAAGAGTTCCCAGTTGGTGGTCATTCTGGGAGTTCTCTTTTTGAACTTTGCAGCCCTTTCTCCCCGCTCTGTGAAGTAGAATTTTGCACGAAGGAGACGGTGGTCTGATCCCGTTCAAAATTTTGGGACAACAGCGACATCAGACAGGCAAAACCGTCAATTGAATATGATGTGGTCTATTTTGTTGTGGAATCGTCCATCGAGAGACTCCCATGTCCATCGTTTAGATTCTGCCTTCTGGAACTGTGAGTTACCATGAATGGTCTTGGTCGACATAATGAACTCAGACAGTCTCTCACCCTGTTCGTTCCATTCTAGGCCATGGGTCCCGATGTGAAGTTCTTCAGCTGATCTTCTCGGTCCTATCTTGGCATTAAAATCACCCACAATGATCTTGTAGAAGGTGTGGTCTTCTTTATAGAACTTCTCTAGCTCCATGTAGAACTTCTCGATTTCTCTTTCATCATAATGAGATGTTGGTGCGTAGACAACGAAGATAGAAACTGCAGGCAGTGAGTCACATCTATTCAAATGTAAACATCCGATTCGGGTTGTTAGGCATTCGAATGAATAAATGCTCTTGACCAAGTTTGTGTTGACAAGGACACCGACGCCTCCGACACCTCTTTTATCGCATGTTCCGAGGAACAATTCTTCTTCAGTGTCGAAAACGGCATGATGAGATTCGTGCCTTCTTGTCTCGGTCAGACCAATGATGTTGTACTTGATCATTCGCTCTTGTACCATCAGGTCCTCGATGGATGCATCTGATGCTAGCGTACGTGCATTGAAAGTACAGACGATCATTTTTGTCTTCCTTTGTTGTGGCAGCCTACGTCCACCTTGAGATTTTGTCGGCCTCTCCTTTCTCATCCTTCTCAGTGCTGCCATATGCTGGCCGACTTTGACCGTGAGTGTGGAAAGGTAGGACTACAGCTGAATCTTACGAAGACAATGTTTATGAGAAACAGCCTTGTTTCTGACGCCCCATTCGCTCTCAATGGAACGACCATCTCCGAATGCAACAGCTATGTGTACCTAGGTCGAGAGGTCAACATGACAAATGACCTGGCACCCGAGCTGCACAGGAGGAAGAGAGCGGCTTGGAACGCTTTCAAGAACGTCGAAGTAATAGCTAAGAGGATGAAGAACCTCCGGCTCCGGGAACATCTCTTTGATTCCACTGTTCTTCCTGCATTAACATATGCCTCAGAGACCTGGGCCCTATGCAAACAAGATGAGAACGCTATTCAGGTCTCTCAAAGAAGAATAGAAAGAACTATGCTTGGAATATCACGTTTCACTCAAATGAGAGAAAGAATTCGGAGTTCTGACATCTGTCGACGATCAAGAATCAGGGACGCTGTCTCATTTGCCAAGGTGTCGAAAATCAGATGGGCTGGTCACGTAATGAGATTTAAAGACGACTGCTGGACTAGAGCTGTTACCGACTGGATTCCACGGGATGTCAAAAGACCGCGTGGCCGTCCACCTTCCAGATGGTCAGACTTCTTCGTCAAGATCATGAACGATCGGTTTGAGGCCCTTCATGTTCCCGGAGCGAACAGATGCCATTGGGGTACACTAGCACGCTACAGGGACAAATGGAGACATTACTGGCGCCCGCTCGAGCAAATCAACGACTAACGGGAAGTTAAGTGATTAAGTTAAGTGACATATTGCTACCCTCCGATAGCACAGCAGGTAGGGGTTTGCCTTGTACCTGGCCAATCGAGTTCGATTCCTCCGCCCCTCTCAGAGAGCCCGGCAAGCTACTGAGAATATCTGCCCACATGGCAAAGCCTGGCAAGCTACCCGTGACATATTTGATATGCCAAATACAGTAACAACAAGTCTCACAATGGAGACGTTACTGGGCCCGCTTGAGCAAATCAATGAACAACGGGAGGACAGTGCTACAGTGCTACCCTCCAACTACATCATAAAGTTCACATTGGATTCTACCTGCTTCGTACACATGAAATCATCTAACACCATGACCTACTCAAAGACTTCCATGCCCATTAGCCTTAATAGCTCCCTGGCATCTCATTCACTGGCCTCAGTGTTTGTGCTTCTTCCTTTGTATGAAGATTCACAGACCAGTCATCTGGCCCGGTTGTTGATGTACTGGGCAGGTCACTGTGAGATCCAACAGTGCAGGGAACTGTGTGACTAGGGAGGGGGACACCCCATGACCTCAAAGAGTCCCCCTCACACATGCAAATGCTGGAGATGATTGTTCTTCCCCTCTGTGTTGCTGTGAGGGACAGAGTTGCGCAGGTATCTGAGAGAGCACACAGCAGGGCTGGCTTGCACTTGGGACACGTGCCCTCCCATGAGTTACCAAGTGGAGTCCTAGATGTGTGAAAGCTGAGCTCATTCTTATAAGCTTTTAAAATGTGGAATATTGACACAGAGAGGCTCCAAACTAATGACTTTATTTTGTTTGTGCAAAACTACCAAAGCATCTTACAGAGAAAAAGAGCAAGCGAACTGGATTTGAAAGAGGTTGGGGGGGGGGGGACTTCAGGAATGTAGAGGAGCTTCTTTTTTATTTTGGGGGGTCACACTCGGTGATGCACAGGGTTACTCCTTGCTCATGCACTCAGGAATTACTCCTGGCGGTGCTCAGGGGACCATATGGGATTCTGGGAATCGAACCTGGGTCTGCTGCATGCAAAGCAAATGCCCTACCTGCTGCGCTATTGCTCCAGCCCCTAGAGGAGTTTAAGTGGGGGAGGGATCTTTCTTTCGGATTTCCCAATATCCTGGCCACGTGTGAAGCTCAGACCTGGACATAGGACAGGGTGACATCCCCGCCAATCTCCAGTATGTCCACCATGGTAGCCAATACACGATGTTTGTAGTCAAAGACGTGCTGGCCGTTGGCAAATACCTTGAAGTGATAGGTGCTGGCGCGGATGGAGAGCTGCAGGAGAGGGGCAGGTGTGAGACAGGATGGGACATTGAGCATGGAGGGAAGAGGATGGGGAGTGGGACTCACATCAAAGTATTTCCCTGGACCAAAGGGATTGTAGGAGATGCTCCTCTCCTCGGAACCCCAGACGCCATTCTGGAAACTGTTGCGCACGACCGCCTTCTCATCCATGCGCGGGTTGATGTGCAGGGCTATCTGCCCTGTGGTTCCCACATTGAAGTTGATATGAAACCTGAGTGTATAGAGGAAAGTGGGTTTGGCACTTGAGGGTACTTTACAGGCTGCCCCAAAGGAGGAGGCATGGAGAATACGGTTCAGAACCCCATCTCCACTTGGGTTTTGTACCTTTTGGCTGAGAGGGGGATGAAGCCCCTGATTATAATGGTTCTGTGGGTCACCATTCCTCCCTGAAGTTTCTGCAGAAATGGCACCGGCTGTAAGGTGAGAAGATGGGACCCAGGTCACCAAAGTTAGAACCAGAGGTCCACTGTGAGAGCTGGGTACCCACTCCTCCTAGGGGGCCTTGCCCACCTTCCACCCTCTCTTGCCTCTTGTCCAGCCCCCTCTGACTACTCTTCTTCTTCCCCTCGGGACACTGCCAAGTACGGGTCCCCACCATCAGTTCATGCTTACCCAAGATCACCCCTTAGATAGTCTGACCCGCACTGGCTCTCTTACCGGGTTGAAGACTGGGGGTCCCTCCATAGCCTGTCAAGTGAGGAAGAAAGAATACGGAAGTCAGCAAATGTTTACAGCACCTCACCAAATACAGGTGGGGTGCTGAGTGACAAAAACTTGAGAGCTGACCTCATGGAATTCCTCATTGTTAGCTCCTACCTCCAATGCCCATATAGCCCTCCAACTTACAGGCAGGTTAACTGGTGACTGGAGATCAACGCCAGGACCCTATGTACAGAGAAGACAACGATAATTAGGGTTCTCGGGCTCCTCGGACACTGAACCCAACTTAAGGGAAATCTATGACCCCTGGCAGGTACTTATGCAGGATACCATAAAAGCCACAGGCATCTGTGGGAACAGAGACAGAAGGACCACCCCAAAGGAATATTTGGAGGGGATGAAAGACACCCCCCAGGACAAACTCCACATCACCATCCATGGGAACTCTGGAGACAAGAGGTGGCCTGGAGGGATCTCATCCTGACTAAACCCCAGTGCTCAATGAGAAACTTCTTTAGTTCTTGTTCATTTGGGAAGCCAAACCTAGTCGGTTTGCTGGGGGTCGACTCCTACATCGGTGCTCAGGATAGTTCCTGATATTGCTCCAGGGATCATGGGGTGCTGGAAAGAGAACTGGGATGTGTGCATGCAAAGTACATACTTCATATTCAGGGGACCCCGGGTTTGAATCCCAGCACCACGTGGTTCCTTGATCACATTCAGGTGTGGACCCCAAGTCCTAGGTTTGGAATAGCTTTGCTGTGTCTGAGAGCCCCCCCCCCAATTTAAAAAAAAAAACCAGAAAAATAAGAGCCTTTTTATTCTTGTCCCCACCTAAACTTCCTGCTGTGTCAGGACCCTCCTCAGCCCCTCTCCTTCCCTCAACCTAAAGCCCATTCTGAAGTCACTCTCCTCAGGGTACAGTCCCTGACCACTTATCACCTCATCTCTAATCTCAATTTTCCCCTCCCTCCACAGCTTCCCCAAGGCAGCGGGGATCCTTGAGACCAGACACTCCCTCCACACCCCCAATCCATGTCTTGTGGGTCTGTGCTTCATCCACCACTCTCCCTCTCTTTCGCTTACTTTACTCTCACCTTTCTCTGGCCTCTTCCCTTCACCCTCCATCTCTCCTCCCCTTCCCATTCTCTCTTCCCTCCCATTTGTGAGGGGATTTCTCATGAACTGTTCAGGTGTCCCTGGGCCACTATCAGCAATACTTGACTAAACAGGCTGGACTCTTAAGTCACTGAGCCAAACATTACTTTGGGGTTCCTCTGTGGTGATGGGGTCCTTCCAGTGCCAAGATCAAACTAGGACCTCAAAACATAAGTCCTGTTCCCCAGTCCTTCGCATCTTCTCCCTATACCTTCTTCTGTTTTGCCTTGTACTTTATTTTTATGTTTTGAGTTTTGGTAACACCCAGCAGTGCTTTGGTATAGCTCCAGGCTCTGTGAAGGGATCGTTCTAAGCAGGGTACAGGGAACACTTTGGGTGCTGGGGATCAAACCTGGTCAGCTGCATGCACATGAACACCCATGTCTCACATTTTGAACCATTCTAAAATTCCTTTAGAAATAGTTTATTTGACAACTATCTATTGATGATTTCTTTATTAAGATTATTATTTTGCACCACAGATAACCCAGGACCTGACATGGGAAGGCAAGAGTGCTACCACCCAGCTACCTCCATGACTCTGGTTTCTCTTCTAAACTATATTGATTTCCCATGACAGTCATTGGGACGATGGTACTTTAGGGGTAAAAGTGGATATTCAGATCAGCACTTTGGATTTGGAAATTCCCACGGAGCTAGGATTTCACCTGCCACCAGAACCCTTTTTTTAGCCTCTATGCAGAGTCTCTGTCACTGCTGGCCCAGCTGCATTGCTCATCCAAGGGATCTACACCACGCAACTCTGCAAATCAACCAATGGGAGAGAAGGCAAGAAGGGAGCTAACCAATGAGAGAGAACACTCACCTCAGAGGAGCTGAAATAGCTGCCAAGAAAGTTAACGGATTGAAGGGTCATGTCCCCATCCACATACAGGTGGGTGATATTCTGGATGGGGGTCCGGTGCCCATACTCATAGAAAAGATTTCCGTTCACCAGCACCTGGAGAGCAAAGGTAATGAAGACCAGAGGTCATGAGTTCCAAGAAACTCTGGGAAAGTGCAAATGGGAAGCAGGGATAGAGAGCTATTAAACTCAGCATCAAATCTGAGAGAGAAAGTGGAGACCCAGAGTTAGGACCTCAGGTTCCAGAGGTTTAAGATCAACTTGAAGTCAGCGATCAGTTCTGTAGGAGATAAGATGCTTTGTCTGAGTGAGGTCCTGGGCATCAAAATAGAAACAGCTCAAAAATGGCAGATTATCAAGGATGCAAATCATGGTCTAGAAGCTGGTTGGGAGAACCTCAAGCCTGACTCTGGTTTGGACAAAGAGGTCTAATTCTAACACAGACTGTGTCACCCTGACTAATTTCTCTGAACTCCTCTGGAAAATGGTGGAGATGACAAGAGGATCATAAGGCTGGGATAGGGTTCAGCAGTAGAGGGCACGCCTTGCATGTGTGAAACCCTGGGTTGAATCCTATTCTACACAGTTCCTCTAAGTCCCTACCATTTCAGGGTGCCTGAAACTGAGGGGCAACCCCAGATGTCATAGCCACAAAGTGGAACGAGGGGAAAATAAAAACAAAATCAGAAAACTGGGAATTGTTGGAGTACACGGAACTTAGGTTTATCAGGTTGCACCGAGTCATTTCTATTACTTTGTCTGTAACTACTTCTTTGTGCTCTCTTCCCCAACCAATTTGTAAGGTCTCATCCTTCTTAGACACTGAAGCTGTACTGTGAGTTAATAATGCCTTTCTCCTCTCCTTATGTCTTTTGAATAGTTTACCTTAATACAATGACCTTTTTGTATAGATACAGGAAGACAATATTATGCTTTATAATTTAGGATTTAATTGGCTTTGAATATTACTCACTCCCGGGCATCTGCTTTCTCAACTTAAGCCTCAGTTGCCCTCACTTCCTAGCACCCCAAAAGCAGGGTCCCGACGTGGGACTGGATGGAACCAGGGCAAGCCAGTAAATTATGTGCTACCCTGGCATCGCGATGGGCCAGGCCAAGGTGCCACGATCCTTAACTATAGGTTAAGAGTTTGATCATAGGTAAATGCTGTCATGATCCAAAAGCAATGACGAGACTAGGACCCTGCTGCTAAGAATAGGAAAGCTATCTGGCCTGAGCACTGCAGTCTGAGATCGAGATGGCCCTAGGGGAGCAATTCTATAAGCTCAAAGTATTTCTTACTGTGTCCATACAAAATGATTTCTTTTTTGTATGCTTATATGTTGGTCGGACAAGGAGAGGAGAAACACATCCAGGGAAATCTGTTCTAGGGTGGGTTAATCTGTCCTAGAAGCAGTTTTCCTATGTGTCCTGACTAGCTTGAATGAGACTGAACCTTTCTCCGCTCCAAACTGCCTTCAGTAAATGATTTCAGTATATTGAGGCAGTTTCCCTTATCTCACAGGAAACTACTGGTCTTAGGTAAGCAGATCTCAGGTGCTAAACCAGGCCTGATCTTGGGGATGTAGATACCTGGCTCCAGGCAGGCTGATATTTGAGATGTAGGCTCCAAGCTCTAGCAGACTCTTTGATGTGTTAATCCAAGTAGTTTGTAAAAAGTGAGGCCAAGATTACTGGCCTGCAGATGTAAAGAAACAATGTGGATGTAAAGAAACAATGTGGATGTAAAGAAACTATGTATGTTTGCTGCCTCAATGTTCTTTCTGTAACTCCTTTTGATGACATCACTATATTGGCCCTTTAGAGGTACCATGATGTATATAAGGGGATTTTCGGGGCTCTTTGGGGGGCTCTCTCGGGGCGCATGTGCTTGAGGACTCCTGAGGCCTCCATGACATACATTTCTTGCATGTAATAAACTGCTGCTAAGACCAACCAGCTTAGCCCTCATTTCCTTCCTTCACCTGACCATCGCCACCGACCTCCGTGGAGTGGGGAAATGGCCTGAGACTACCGAACGCGGGCGGCGGGAGAGATAGGCCGCTGCCCTCCCCTTAGCCGGTCCTTTTTGTGTGTTTACACAGGAAATGGCAGAAAACTCCACAGGCTGGAGCTCAGGCTCTGCTCACGAGTTTCATGGGGAGTCTTTGATCTTCCCTCCAACATGGCACCCTCCCTTCAGCAGTACCAGGTGTGGTCCATCAGAACAATCAACAAATTCAAGCAGGAAATGAAGTCCAAGACCGAGATAAAGGGTCAGCTGAGAGGAGGCGCCTGACTCTCACCTTGTAATGTTGCTCCGTGACCGTCACCAGCACCTCGAAGTGCTCCCCGTTTTTGAAGGGTATCCTCTTTAACTCCTCTTCTTGACCCCACTGGCCCGACAACCGAGAATTGAAGATGACCTTGTTCCAGCCATCAAAGCGGGGGTTGAAGTGGAAGGCGATGTCGTGGGCTACTGGATCTGGCCCCAACGCAAAGTTCACCACGAACCTGGGGGACAGGAGAGACTGTTCCTCAAATCCTCCTGGGAATGGTGCCAGAAATGGGTCAGGGGCTACAGGGAGCCCGATCAGTCCCAACCAAGATGGTTGAGGTGACAGCGAGGTGTTGACTGGGATCTATGACCAAGAGATGTGGGACATGGTGGCCCCCAGTCCCAGCTTGCAGTGAACCATATTTATTTGCTGACTGACACCCCCAGCTTCAACACAAATGCTTCAGGCACACCTGACTACCCAGGGGGCCAGTGACTGTGCCAGCATCTACAGCTCTGACTGCTCAGGCCTCCCCGTTCCCTTCACAATTTCTCAGGAACATCCCCATCTCCATAAAGTCAAAGGGCCCTGGAGCACCCAAGTGAGAGTACACCACTCACTGGAGCATCTCCAAGTTCTCTAGAGGGCATACCCCCTCACCCTTGGGCCTTTGCATCAGTCCTTTCCTCTCTCTCCAAGCCCTGAGATGCCAGCAGCACCCCAGAACCCCATCTTCTCCTTTCGTCCATGAACAGTTTTGTTTCACTTAGAAAATCTTTGCTATGCCACCCTTAAAGAGACTATGCCACGCCCCTCTTTCTCCTCTCCATCTCTACCACTCCCCATATCAGACTCCACCACCATGCAGCATAGTCTATATTTCATCGTTTTTCTTCCCTTTCTGAGGATGTGGTCTCTCCAACAGTTCCTGGAGGCCTTGAACCCCACTGCAAGTGCTACTCAGTGTCAGCACCTCCCCAGGCCTGGTATGGGGAATCACTCACCTCTGCATATTTTTGAAGGCCACTCCCTGAACGTAGACAGACATCCCAACTCTCAAGCCACGTGGGATGGGTTCACAGAAGGGCAGCGTCTGCAGTAGACCCCGGGAAAGGGCCTCAATTCTCATGTGTGAAAATTGAGGAAATATGCCCAACCCCATCGCTTTCACAAGAGAGAGGCGCACCAGACTGAGGGTCAACATGAAGAAGAGGGTTGAGTGTTAGGAATGGAGGTTTAGGAAAGGCGTAAATCAAGTCTCTGGGGCAGTGCAGGGGTGAAGCAGGTACCTGGACCACTGTTATCTCTGTGTTTCAGACTGGGAGGGACCTGGAGAGTGGGGTCAGGGTGAACCCAGATCAAGACCTGGGTCTGTATCTCACCGGGTTGTAATTAGGATGGTAGCCAGGTGCAGGCACGCAAATCGCCTTTAGATCCTGGAGAGGCAGTTTGTCTTCTGACATCTGCAAGAGTGGAAATATAGCATATGGCCACTGGGGTGACTCTTATACTCTTCTGGGCTTGTTGTTCCCTATTTTCAGAAAGTCCTGCCGCCTGACCTTCTTCTTCTTCTTCTTCTTCTTCTTCTTCTTCTTCTTATTATTATTATTATTATTATTATTATTATTGCTTTTTTTCTGGGTCACACCCGGCAGTGCACAGAGGTTACTCCTGGCTCTGCATTCAGGAATTACTCCTGGCAGTGCTCAGGGGACCATATGGGGTGCTGGGAATTGAACCTCGGTCAGCCGTGTGAAAGGCAAATCCCTACCCGCTGAGCTATCGCTCCAGCCCCCTCCTGAGATTCTTGGGAAGTTGAATAGTCACCAGCCTTACAGAAGCCCAAAGGCTTGAGGATCACAATCCTTTGAGTGGCAACTACTGAGCTTCAGGAAAAAAGTAAAAAAAAAAAAAAAAAGACACACCAACCAGATGCAGAAACTCTGGATTCATGTAGAGAAGGCTGAAGACCCTCTCAGAAAAGGAGCGGCTTCTCTTTTGCAGACCACAACACCCAAAAGGAGAGAGAGAACACAGGGGATTGCCCTGCCACAGAGGCAGGGGGGGATGGGGGGATGGTGGTGGGGGGATATTATCCATGGTGGTGGAAAATGGGCACTGGTGGAGGGATGGGTATCTGATCATTGTATAATCGAAACCCAAGCACAAAAAATTGTAAAACTACAACTGTAAAAAAAAAAAAAGAAACAAACAAAAAAAATTTTTAAAAAATTGCCATTGTGAGTAACAAAAAAAAAAAAAAAGAAAAGAAAAGGAGCGGCTTCAAGAGACTCTAGAAGTGATGATAAGAGTGTGAAAAGATGGGCCAGAGCCAAGGCACAGTGGGTTAGGTGCTTGCCTTCCATACAAAATGAGTTGTGTAGCAGTTTCCCTTCCCCGAAATATGCCCAACCCTATTCCTTGCACAAGAGAAAGGGACCCCAGATTGAGGGTCAACATGAAGAAAAGTTTTGATTGTTAGGAATGGAGGTTCAGGGAAGGAGTAAATCAAGTCCCTGGGGTAGTGTAGGGGTGGGGCAGGTCCCTGGATCCCTGTTATCTCTGTGCATTAAGCTGGGAGGGACCGGGAGAGTGGGGTCAGGGTGAACCAGGTCAGGACCTGGGTCTGGAACTCACCAGGTTGTTGGTGAGAGGGTAGCCAGATCCAGGCTCACAAGTCATCTTCAGATGCTGGAGTGGCAGTTTGTCTTCTGAGAGCTGCAGGAGTGGAAATTTGGCACATAACCACTAGGGTGCCTCTTATACTCTCCTGGGTTTGTTCCCTATTCTCAGAAAGCCCTGTTTCCTGAGTTTTGTTTTGTTTTTGCTTTTTAGTGTGGTCACACCCAGCAATGCACAGGGGTTACTCCTGACTCTGCATTCAGGAATTACTCCTGGCGGTGCTCACGGACCATATAGGATTCTGGGAATCAAATCTGGGTTGACCTCATGCAAGGCAATTGCCCTACCCGCTGAGCTATAACTCCAGCCCCGTCCTGAGCTTCTTGGGAAGTTGAATAATCACTGGCCCGACAGAAGAGGCTTGAGGATCACAATCCTTTGAGTATCAACTACTAAGCTGTAGGAAAAAGTAAAAATATAAATAAATAAATACATAAATAAACAAACAAATAAGACACACCAACCAGATGCAGAAACTCTGACTTCATGTAGGGAAGGCTGAAGACCCTCTCAGAAAAGGAGCGGCTTCAAGAGAATCTAGAAGTGATGATAAGAGTGTGAAAAGAGGGGCCAGGGCCAAGGCACAGTGGGTAAGGTGCTTGCCTTCCATATCAAATAGATTCTGTCCCTGGCTTCCCATATGCTTCCCAAGCACCACCAGGAGTGATTCTTGAGTACAGAGCCTGGAGTAATTCCTGATTGTTGCTGGGTGTTATCCAACATACCCGCCTCTCCAAAATAAATAAAGATAGCATGTGTTTTTTGAAAAGGGGATTCTGCTCCTCTGCATCATCTTTATTTTTCTGGACTCTATTGGCTTTTTTTTTTTCACAACTCACCACTGCAGTCAAGATTATTAAAAGCATCCTGTGTAAATATATTTTTTTTCAAATCAATAAGAGACAGGGCTGCTCCTGGCTCAAGGGAGAGTGACCCATGAAGAGAGTTGCATGAAGGAGATGAGACCAAGGCTCAGTGATCACATATGCCACTCACACTGACTGCTCTTACCAGTTTTCTACAAGCTTCTGTGTTTAAAAACTTAATTCTGCATTGATGTTCATTGTGTGTCTCTCTCCCAAAACATTATTTGTCACTTCTGAATATGGGACATTTTCCAGAAATTCTTTCTGTGTATGTATGTGTGGGGGGCGAGGAAAAGAGAGAAAGAGAGAGGTACAAAAAGACAGTAAGGAAGAGCACTTTTTTTCCATCATTGTCTCCTCATAACTGACAAGTGTAATCTAGTTTGTCAAATGTCAGTGACTATCTTGACTTCTTTTTGGCAAGCAGTGAGTTATAATCTTCCTTGTTCTTTTTTGTGCCCTTCTTGCTTCACCTTTAACAAAACTAATCTCTTTTTGTTTAAGCGAATTGGGATTAAGTCAAATTGAATATTTCAAATGAAAACAGCCATGTCATTAGGGAATTTCTCATTCGACCTGTAGTTGTTGAATTGATTTGGCAAAAACGATCTAGTATTTTTACAATTTGTTGTACCCATGAGGAAAGGAGTCAATTGTCCCTGGCTTAGGGGTGGGCAGTGAGGCAGCCTAACGAACACTTCCCACACCCAAAATGAAGAAAAAGCCAACAAACTTGCCTGCCCAACCCATGAAACAGTTCTAGCTGCAGTTCAATCACTAGCAGGGTACAACAGGAAAGGAGAAGAGAGATCATAGGATCACTTGCCTCCTGGAGGGACTAAAATAAGCAGGAATTAAACCAGTTAACTGCAGGAAGTCCAGGAGGTCACTCATGTCCTTTCCAAGAATCTCTTTGTGATTCATTCTACCTTAACTGAAACTCTAAGGCAGAGTGTGAAGTGAGACTCTGAGAGTGAGAGCAGCTGATCAAATAGTGCACTTCAGAAGTCAAATCTCATCAGATATTCCGTAAAAGCTACCCAAACTAGATCAGGACCAACAAGCTCATTCCACGATTTATTGGACACTGCCTACAAGATATTCAGTGCTAGAGGAAAAATAACTACAGAGAAAACCTGAAAAAATTAAAGGGGAAAAATTAAATAAAGGCACGAGATAAACACCATAAATAATTATGGCTGGAACCATTCTCAGCTCCACAGGACTTGAGCCAGCCTCAGTCCCTTTCTGAGACAAGCATCATCATTATCATCATCATCATCATCATTATCATCATCATCAGAAGAAGAAGAAGAAAAAGAAGAAGTAGAAGAGGAAGAAGAAGAAGGAGAGGAAGAAGAAGATGAAGAAATTGTTCAGTTAACACCCAGATAATTATCTCCTAAAGGTTGCTTTGATCATATCTGCTGTAACACACATCAACACATGTACATTGATTAATTCCAAGTCACTCAGAGACTTCAATGCCCATCAGCTCAAAGCACTTTCCAGAATCTAATTAATTCAGCTCAGTATTTGTGTTTCTTTTGTTGTATGGAGGTTCATAGAACAGTGATATGCTCCAGTCCTTGATGCACAGACAATGGATCTAATCGTGCAGGGGATTGAGTGACCCAGGGAGGGGGACACCCTATGGCTGCAGAGAGTCTCTTCATACATGCAAACCCTGAAGATGGTTGTTTTCCTTTTTGCCTCCCTTTGTGTTGCTGTGAAGGGCATAGGTCAGGCAGGAAACCAGGAGAGCACAGAACATTGAGGGACTGGAGCGGCTAGAACCTGAGAGCCCATGTCCTGCCCCTGAGCTACCAATGGGTCCTAGCAGTGTAGAATTTGCTTCTTCTCTGAACTCTTCCTTGGAAGTTGCACAAAATAAGTCATGGAATTGAAAGAAAAAAAAGGCACCACCTTCCTACATGTATCAGACTTTTGATTAGTGACTTAAGTGCACAACCTTGGGGATCCCCCTCAATAGGTTTTGCAGGCACAGCTTAGACCTGCACGTAGGATGGGCTGACATCCCTGATGATTTGCAACAAATTCACCACGGTGAAGGCCAACCTACGATGCTTGTAATCAAAAGCGTGCTGGCCACTGGCAAACATCTGGAAACTATGGGTGCCAACGCAGATGGACAGCTGCAAGAGAGGGGCAGGAGTGAAAAGGTGAAAGACGTAGAACTTGCATAGTGAGGGGTGGGAGAAAAAGACTCACATCGAAGGACTGTCCTGGACCAAAGGGGTTGTAAGAGATGCTCCTCTCCTCGACCCCCCAAATACCTCTTGCTAGGGAGTTCCGCACCACGGCACATTGTCCATACGAAGGTTGATGTGCAGGGCTATGTCTCCGGTGCTTCCCATGATAAAGTTGACGGAAAATCAGGAGACAGAGAGGAAGCACAGGGTTAGCTCTGAGGAACTTCAGCAAATGCTCTCGAAGGGAGGAATGGACAGCGACTGGACTCCAGGCATCAGGGCAACATGTCCCCACTTTCACCTGGGTCTGTACCTGTAGGCTGAGTTGGGGATGAAGACCCAAATTATGAAGGTCTGTTTGGTATCAGGCCCAACGGCTCACCACATATAGCACAGGTTGTGGAATGAGAACATGGTGTCCCTTCCTCTCTCAATCACAGAAAACCAGGTGCCAAGATTTATTGTCAAAGCAGGCTACTCACTCCTCCTAGAGACTTTCCAATTTCCAACCAGTCCCACTTCTTCCCAATCCCCTTGTGAGGCAGTAGTGAAGCTGAAAAGACCACAGCAACTTCATTTTGGAAAGCCAGGCTCCATTGTTGTGTCTTGGGGTCATGAGTTCACAACTTACTAAGAAAAACATGCAAGACCATAAAGGGCAGGGACACAAACACCCAGAAACTGACCACAGATAACAAGGACATTTCAAATAAATGTAACAAGTTATGTTAACCACAATTTCCCTTCTGTACCCTCCTGATTGTTTGCTCAAGACCATGAGAATGCACCCAGGCATGTAGGCAGGAGGGCATATGGCTTAAAAATTTCCCCATGGGATCACTCGGGATGGGAGATGTGTGCTGAAAGTAGACTAAGAACCAAACATGATGAGTTCTAGGCATCTGCATTGCCAACCATGATGCCCGAAAGCATGAAGGAACTGGCAGAGGAACCCAGGCATACAGGTCCCAGGGCTGAGATCTCCAAGCCTGCTCGGATTGGGACTGGGCCTTCTCCACCCAGATCCCCCATCTTCCAGTAGGTAAGCGTCACACCCACCAGCTGCCGCCAGCACCAAGTTGGTTCCATCAACGGCCAAGACGCAGAGACTATAAAACCCAGCTCCAGAATCTTATTATCTCATTTTTCCTTTGGAGAACCCAGCAGGCTACCTAAAGTATCCTGCCCGCATGGCAGAGTCTGGCAAACTTCCCCTGTCGTACTCAATATGCCAAATACCAGTAACAATGATGGGTCTCATTCTCCTAACCCTGAAAGAGCATTGAATATGGCTCTTTTAAAATCTCAGGGCTAGGAAGAAGGAGACATTACTGGTGCCTGCTCTAGGCAATCGAAAAACAACAGGATGATCGTGATCATGATGCCCGAAAGTAGAGAGAGAGTAAGAAGAAAGATGCCATCTACAGAGGCAGGGAATGGGAGGGGGTGGGGGTAGCAGGAGGGATGCTGGGGACGTTGGTCGTGGAAAATGCGCACTAGTGGAAGGATGAATGTTTGACCATTGTATGACTGAAACTCAATCATGAAACTTTGTAACTGTATCTCACAGTAATTCAATAAAAAAATTAAATAAATTTAAAAAAAATCCTTCTCCCTGAGGGCAATCGAGAATCCAAGTCTGTTCGGGTAATTGAACTGGTGGTGTGTGAATAGCCGAGCCAGTGTATTGATGGATACTGACGGCAGATTCTTCAGGTGTTCGGGTCTGACCTTGTCTGGGCCAGTTGCTGTTCGTTTCTTTATCAATGAAATGGCATGTCTGATTTTGGTAGGGAGAATTTTGAGAAAGACATATCCATCCTGTGGAATTTGGTATGTGAGCAGGTGACTTAGCTATCGAAGAGATCTGAGTAGAAGTCGTGGATAACCTTCCCCATTGCCCTTCTGGAAGATGTGATAGATCTGTCAGAAAATCAGAGGGTAGTCATCT